CATGACATTATCAAAGTAGGTTTTTTGTGCACTCATGTAACTTGTGAATCTGTCTTTGGGCTAACAAAGATACGATAATTTTATGCAGGTGTTTCTGAAGATGCTGTTTCAGGTCACATACAGCTTCTGGTTCCCGGAGAAACTGCTTGTTTTGCTTGTGCTCCCCCTCTGGTATGTTTTTTTTCTTCGTATATCACTCTTACAACTCTACCCTATCATACTCTGCCTTAATGCTCGAGGAATGTTATAAGTGGAATATTGGTGAATTTAAGGATTTTGTGATCCAGGGTGCTGTTAATACCACACTTGCATTTCCTCTAAACAATCTCTCTATTTTTACTGTGGTAGGTCGTCGCATCTGGAATTGATGAACGGACACTTAAGCGGGATGGGGTCTGTGCTGCATCTCTGCCTACTACTATGGTAGCTTTCTACCACCTTTACAGTACAGTTTATTTAAGATCTGTGTTTGTTCTAAGACTTGCTTGATTATCAATTCAGGGTGTTGTTGCGGGGCTTTTGGTTCAAAACTCTCTCAAGTTCTTACTAAATTTTGGTGAAGTGTCTCCATACTTGGTAAAAATTCTCGGCTTACTTCAGCTCTCCTCAACATTTCTCTTCTCCTCATGAATCACAGAAAGCACTTTAATGGTTTCATCATAGAAACATTATCATCTAAGTCACTTAACGTGTACTCGTTTTTATGCCTCTGATACTTGATGATCACACAGGGTTACAATTCACTGAAGGATTTTTTCCCAACCATGCAAATGAGACCAAATCCACAATGCTCGAATGTAGCTTGTCTAGAACGACAGGTAACTTGAGTAAAAACCGCCTACAAAACTCTCTCAGCTTGTCTTTGTTTCCATGTTCTGGTGAAATAAAAATGAAATCCAAAATGCAGAAAGAATACATGCTTGCGAAACCAGCAAGGGACGCTGCTGCTAAAGCAAAGATGGAAGCAGAAGCATTAACCGCTATTGATGAAGGTCCTCTCCATGTTGATAATGAATGGAACATAAGGTAACAAGAAATTTTGGATCATATTTTATCTTTTCCAACCATATCTGCAACAAGCCGAAATCTGATGTGTGTCTCATGCCTTTTTTTCAGTGTTGTCGACGATGAAAATGAGAAGGATGCTACAAAAGTTGCCTCAAGTTCAGGTATTTTTCCAAATTGGGGTGCTATTTATGTGAGAGTGTGTCAAAATTTTAAGCATTCTTCGTCTGCTTCGGACAATGATCTAAATCGATTTTGTGATGTGTATAGATACATTACCCGAAGGGCTTACTCGGGAGCTTCCAGATGCAGACGAGTATGAGAAAGCAATAGCTATAGGGTCTGGAGAGACAGAGGAGGAAGAAGACGACCTTGAAGATCTCAAGAAACAGCTCGAAGCTCTTAATGCTGCTTGAGTCTTTATGTGAGACACATAATAGTTTTTTTTTAGCAATTTTTACTTGAAAGAGGCTGCAAATGCAAAAAAGAGTGTCGTGGTTGTTAAACTGAATCTCATGGGCATATAAACTTAAATACTTTTTTGGATTATGATTTCTCCCTTTTATTTAGTGGCTATCAAAGACAAAGAGATTAACATTTTTTTTGGTAAAGAAACGATTTATATGTTTAGAAAACTTTGACCAAC